GTAGACGGGCGGCGGAGGAGGCATCGGCGCGGGCGGGAGGGTCGGCGGCGGAGGGGGAGGCAGGATGTTGACGGCGGGAGGAGGCCGCGGCACGGTGATGACCTCGACGGGGGGCCGCGAGTGGGAGCGGTCGCGAGACCGGGAGCGGGAGCGGGAGCGCGAGCGCGAGCTGGAGCGCGACTCGGGGATGTAGCGGGTGACTTGGGTGCGGGTGGTGATGATGTCCGGGTCGGGGCGGCTCAGGTAGAGGCGCTTCTTGACGTCGTGGCGGCCTGCGAAGGGGGGAGTGTTAGCGATGATCCGTCTTTGTTTTGTTGTTATCTTGAGTTGCGTGACGTGATGGGGTGTGTATTGGAGGAGCTTCTTGTGTGGGTGAGGCGATGCGAGGTTCTTCTTACCCATGGTGGATTCTGAATCAAGGTCGACTTGTTTGTGATGGAATAGTAGATGGAGATGGGGACCGTTGCTTTGCGCTGATGTATGAGGAAGACAGAATGATGATGATGATGGACGAGATGAGAATGACCAGTTCCAGTCCAGTCAGGAAAAGGACGGGGAGGTGCTAATGCACGGATCCCTCCGAGAGCAGCAGCTGAAGAGGGGCCGAGGGCCAGACAAGGCACCAGACGCTATGCAAAGCGCCCGTGATGTGTTTCGTCTCGTGAGCTACCAAGGTGCTTGCTTGTTGTACCTTGGTATATGGTCACAAGCAAAAATGAGTGAAAGCCAGACAATATTGTAGCACAACATGCGTGATGAAGAATGGAAGAATATAGACAGGTAGGTGTGAGTAGTGAGGGAATATTCGGTATTATGTAGTTTCTGCTGCTGTACACAACCCCTGGACAGACTTCTGCATAAGGCACCACCACCATCATCGCGGGCTGTTTCCAAGGCGCTCTAGAAACTTGGGCAGAGAGGGAACCAAGCCACCATGACGTCATGGGAGAAAGCAGGGATTTTGGTTAGCAAAAGAGAAAAGCGGCTATCATGCTACTCCCCGACTTGGCCATCCAGCAATAAAAGTCTACATCTTCTTTTTCTAACAAGGTGGTAGATTTACTGTAAGTACGGCATCTCACGAACAAGAAACATACACCTACCCTCTAGTAGTGTCGCTGTGTTCTTGTCGCAATGCTGTGTGCTTCACTCTCCAGCATGTCAAGTATAAGGACCTTGATTTGCGCTCAGGTATGCTTCAGACGTGGGCCGCTGTATCGTCAAGTTGGAAATGCTGGGTAGTCGTCCCATATGTAGCCTACCACCATGATAGCATTTCTTTGGCACTGATCATGATGAAATCAAATTCAAGTTGGTATTGCGTCAGGTCATTGCGTAACATACATTGGTGGCTACAGCTGGTAGCGCTCGTCTTCTGCTTTCCAAGCCCACATTACAATTTCATGAGACGTTTTTATACTCGTGTACTCTTCCTCCGTCTTTTACCCAACGTCCGTGCCCTGGCTTGGTCATGATCTCGTCGACTTCGCAGGACTAGGATTCAAGCGTCGGCCTCTGCCAGCGGAAGCTTTACCGTGTGTTAGAGAGCAGCTCGTGGTTGGCGACGGCCTTTCCAGTCCTGCGCGAGAATCATCTGCTCCCAATGAGTTCCAAGTGCCTGCCTCGCTGCCTGTACTTCCCACAGCGCTCGCTGCTCTCGGCACCCGGTCGTTGCTCAAGTCCTTGCTGTCGGCCTTTTTCTTCCTCCTCCGGGATCGAGAAGATGTTGTTGAAGCCTTGTCCTGTTCCCCGCCATCACTAGGAGCCCCCTTTCGAGCCTTTTTACTGGGACTCTCTGCCGTGTCCTTCTTCTTCTCCTTACTTTCGCCAGTCTTTCCCAGCACACGATCAAACAGCGCCTCCAGCTCAGTCTCGGTTGGCAAGACAGACTCCGTTGCCGACGGGCCATGGCCAAGCGCAGCTCGGTACTCGACTTGGTCCGCCGCAATGGCCGCCGACCACCGCTTCCAGCCCGGCATGCACAGCATCTCTGGAAAGTATGGTTGTCGGAGCAAGGACGGCAGCAATGCATCCAAGATACCGGCAAGTGCCTGGCGAATTGGCTTCATGAGCTCGAACAGCGGCTCGGAATATAATATATCGAGAGAGTTGACAAAGTAGGTCGCCATGGACTTGCTGGTCTTAAAGTCCATCTCCCTGTAGATGAAGTAGGAGTTGAGGTATGCGGCGAGGTCTTTGGCCGTCTCCTCTAGAATGCCGAGAATGCGCGATGCCATTGTCGGGATCTGGAAGTTGACTGCCGCGCAATAGGCAAGCACGCACCGCGGGATGTGTATAAAGTTGAGCGGCTGGCAGATGCTTCTCTCGCAGATGTCGAGATCTACCGGCCATTCTCTGGTTAACCGCTATGGTCTAGGTAGCTTATGAGGAGAGGAGAGAGTCGGAGAGTTGATACATACTCTTGGTGTACATGAAGAAAAGGCAAGGCTGTACCGCTCCAATAGCATGGGGCAGATGTATCTCGACCGGTGATCCATTCTGTAGCGCGCCCGTTAGCACGATTGCTTTCATCTTGTCCCTCGGTTCTCTGTTTGTGAGCGCTTGGAAATGTCTTTTGCCCTTTCTTACCTGGTTTGGCGGGGGAAGCTTGTCTCGAAACCAGCCTGAATGCCGCATTAGTATATCGCGGTGCAGCTGGAACACGCTGGTTTCCACGTATAAGTAGACATTCGAGCCAAAAGGGTGTCTCCAGAGGCTGTCGACGGTCCATTAGTTCGCAGTCCTTGTGATGGGCTCAAGTTGAGCGGCCAGCGATGGTGGATGCTCACATCTTGGCAGCTTGATCTGCGGCTTCTTCCAGGATCAACCTTGTTGGCGTGCTGAGTCGAGAAACGGCAGATCTCGTCTCGTCAGAGTGCGTTTCGATTGTAGAGCAACTGGATTTGGAAACGTTGCACGAAGGAGAGGGCTCTCTTTGCGCCTCCTCGCTAGGTAAAGCATCGTCGGCCGCACCGTCTCCCGTTTTGAGCTCTGGAAATTCCTCCTCTGCCAGCGGTCGTCGCAGCGATTTGAGAGGCTGCTTGTCATCTGGCCCTGCCGGAGCTGACGAGCGCCGATGCCATGGATTCTCCCTGGGGGGAGATGCCGGCTTCAGGCTTGGCCCTGGCTCTTCCTTGGGCTTCCACGCCGGCTTCGACAGCTTCTGGCTTCGGCCATCGAGCGACGTTGGCTTCGTCTTGGCCATTTCTGGGCACGAGCTATTCGATTGTTAAGAGGCTAGAGCTTCATCATCGCAGCAGAGGTGCAGGGCGGGTGCTGCGGCTTCAGAAACAGCGAGGAGTGGCGGGGGTGAATCTCTTCCTCTCTTTGCTCTGCTGTTTTGTTTTGTTTTGTTTGTTTGTTTGTTCCTGCGAGGCATCTGCTTACTTTCGAGCAAGGCCATTTTTGACAATGGCCAGCAGCACTGCCAGCTGCAGCAGCACGACTGTGCAGAACAGCGGCAGTGTCAACAGGTGGCGGCCGACAGACAGCACCGGCAGCCACGAGAAGGTCGACCGGATGACGAACTGCTGCTGGCTCTTCTGGCCCAGGACGGGGTGGGCGATGGTCGTGACGCTGTCGCGGATCTCTGCAGCAGACGCCATGTTGGAGCGGCTTGGACTTCGATCATGTCGAGCGGACAGTTGACCGTCTGCCGGCGTCGAAGCGGAAGTGAAATACCTAGAAACCATCATTGCATGTAAGTATGGGCTTCGAGTGCTCGCCTGTTTGCGTGCTATTAGGCTGTTGGCGGTTCATTATCCATATTGCCAAGTCTGAGTCTTCGGGCCAGTTCAGTCGGGGAATTAGATAGATCTTCAGAGCATGCCTGATGCTGCCGTAAATAGCCTGAGAGAAACGCCCTCTATTAATCCGTGGTGCCTGGCAGGAGAATGGAGGCCTTCCAAGGTGGGTATAAGATGGACTGAGATGGTATAGGTAGCTTGAAGGTGGTAGTACTCCGTACCTAAGGTAGAGGTGTGTGCATATACGGCAATGGGCAATTCACCGCCTCCAGGCCTTTCCGTCCTTGTGTATCACATTGCTCATCAGGCTATGAGTATTTCCCAAATAGACAAGCAAAAAAATCGAATAGAAAAATAGTAGAAGATTTGATGAAGTCAAAGCTGCAGTACTCCGTATATCAAACTCCAGTTCACTTACAATGAAATCGGCGCTCTACCAGTCCCAGCGCGACTTGACCCCAATAGGCTTAGCCCCCCTCTCCCCTGGCCTGGAGCTCGGCTTAGCAATTCAACCCGCCATCATCGCAGGCTTCTGTCCCGTTACACAATCCTCGCCAACTTCTACAGCCAACCTCGTCCAGCCTCGTCCCGGTCTCGGTTCAGCATCAGAAAAAAAAAACACACACCCAAAGATGGACGACTCGCTGATCCACATCACCTCCAAGCAGCAGTTTGACGACCTGCTCAGCACCTCCCGCATCGTCGTCGCCGACTGTGAGCCTCCCCCGCCATGACAAGCAAAGCAACCCCGCCATCATCTCCCGACATTCACATACGTCGTGTCTTCCAGATGCATCTCACGTCCCCGCCAGACATCACCTTGCATTGTCGCTAACTCACCTCTCCATTCGCCAGTTTACGCCGACTGGTGCGGCCCCTGCAAGCAAATCGCGCCGCTCTACGCAAGCCTCGCCGAGCAAATCTCACGACCCGGCCTCCTCACATTCGTCAAGATCGACAACGACAAGAACCAGGACCTCGCACAAGAATACAACGTCTCAGCCCTTCCCACGTTCCTCCTGTTCCGAAACGGCAAGGTCATCCAAAAGGTGCAGGGCGCAAACCCCACCGAGCTCAAGACCGTCATCGAGAAGCTGGCTTCCGAGCTGGAGTCGCTGGCAGAAGGCTCAGGGAGCGGCGGCCCTGCTTGGAAGGGCGCCGAAGTTCCCAGGGGCTACAGCGATGTCACAAGCGAGATCGAGATCAAGGGCTGCGAGCTGCTGAACGCGGATGATGATGCGGGCCCCGTCAGGGTTCTGTTCGAGAGCTCCAAGCCAAGTGCTCTGAGCGAGGGTGCAGCACCTGCTACCAAAGACTGGGTGCAGAGCGGAGCCGACGACCAGCTTCTCCTCTTTATCCCGTTCCAATCAACCATCAAGCTCCACACGCTACAGGTCGGTGCTCTCGAAAGATATTCGCTGCGAATCCCCGGCTAACTTGCAGGAATAGATCACGTCCTTCCCCCCTGAAGGCAATACCGATGTCTCACGGCCTGGAGTCATCCGTCTCTTCATCAACCGCACATCCAACATGGACTTTGGAGAGGCCGAGGACGCAGAGCCGACGCAGGAGATCACGCTGGGGCCCGAGGATTGGAACTCGCAGGGCACGGCAAGCATCGGCCTGCGATTTGTCAAGTTCCAGAAGACAACCACCCTCACCATCTTTGTACAGCGTGGCGACGGCGAAGCAGATGCTGTGCGCATTGACCGCATCAAGCTTATCGGTGAGGCCGGTACAAAGAGGGACATGGGCAAGCTTCAGAAGATGGAGGACGATGAGTAAAAAGGCAGCTTTTCCCCCACTTGCTGTTCTGTCTTTGGGAGTTATGAAGCAAATGTTTGGTGGTTACGGGGTAGAAGAGCACGGGTTTCCATGGGCTAGCATTCTGGAGTTTAGGACGAGACAAAAACAAATCTGTTATTTATATGCGTTCATACTTCCCTTCCTTCACGGTCCCCCGAAAGTAGATACGCCACCCACGGCCATGATGCAGCAGAAAGAGAACAAATAAAGAAAAGAAAAGCAATAAGAAACGTGTAAATCCCCCTCCAGCTCTGTCTGGGCCACAGCCTCAGTCCTTCGTCCGCTCCATTCTCATCTGCCATACTGGTTCGCCAGGCTTTTCCACTCCTTAAGCCATTCGTCCTGACCGGCTCCCACTTTCTTCATGCCTCTAGAGACCTTCTGCCACAAGTCCCGCATTTCCAAAATTGCAGCTTCCCTCGATCGCGCAGGCCAAGTAGCCAAATCCATGCCTTGGAACTCTTGGAGATGGTCAAGCAGCTTTGAGATATCCAGGGCCACTCCGGCAAGCTTATCTCCTGCGAGAGGGACATATTTCTCGTTCCAGAGATTTGGAGTATCCTTGGGCAGCAGCCCCGTATCAATTCCCAGACATCTTCCCAGGGCCGTGGGAAGTTTGTAGGACAATTCATTGCCACTTGGGATGGAACCGTTCATGACTCTTGTCCCCATATAAGCGATGCAGGCCCTGTCTCGCGCATCCCAGTACAAGCATTGGCCCAGGAAGACCAATAGGGCCTCCGTGGTTGCGCCCTCTCTCTTGGCGAATTTCAACTGCTCGAGGCCCGTGTACCACAAGGAGTGACAAACCTGCGGGATGGCGGTCCAGAGTGTCAGCAACTCATCATAGGCTTCCGAGTCCACCCTTCCTGCCGGACTCTTCCATTGTATCTTCTTCTGTTCCTCTTTAATCCATTCCCCCCAAAGACCCTCCATCGCTCTGAGAGGTCCGAGATAACGGCATCCTGCGAAATTGGAAAAGCAAAAGGTTCTGGGCACTGACATAGACATGTCGGCCGCCGTCAATGGTAGCATCCCAACTGGGGTCAAGCGTCCGTATAGGTCGACCGTCAAATCGCAAGGGCCGCGAGCATGTATGAAGCAAGCGGCCTTGAAGTAATGGATTCGTGTCTGGCGTAGGAATTCTCGGTAATCGGCGGGTGCCATCACTTTCTTCCCCTTGACAATCACGGGACCGGGGATTGGAGGTACAGTGGGAAAAGGCATTGGGGCAAATCCCCAGCAGCCTCTCGCGCCTGTAACCGAAGACCATGTTGGGGCCATTGTCTTGGGTTTCCCGGTCTTCGGAGCCTGCTCCTCCGGGTACTCGAAGCGAGGTGAGCTGGGGATGAGGTTGTCGAGAGATCGAGGCCACAAGACCGTCTTCAGTTGGTGGTTCGCAATCCATTGTGTCGGGAGCTCATATGACTGGAGACCCATAAGGTTGACATCTGGCAAGCCTGTGAGTGCAAGAGCTGTTCTCGAAGGTCCCTCATCTCCCGCCAAATTGTGCAAGTGGCCGCTGCTCGCTCCCGGCATACAGCAAGGAAATATGCGAACCCTGTAACTCATGTCCATTGCCGGGACGGTCGTGCCCACGCCCTCCATCAGGGCCTTGATTTTCTCCTGGTCCAGGTCGGCAGGACCGAGCTGCTCCTCCCAAAAATCTGCAAGGAAAGCCTTCTGCATCCATCGGAAAGGATGGGGATGCTCGTCCAGCTGCATCAAGTGCGTCCATTTCAGCCAGTGGCCGTAAAGAAGAATCATGCAGGCCAGTGAGATGTTGGGGACAGGTGCAGGGGACTGTCCTGTTTCAGCGAATGTCTCTAGGGCAAGGTTTGGCGAAGCTTGGATGTCCATCCACAAGTGTGTGGCCAGGATCATCTCATTGATTGGTAGTAGGTCCAAGTGATGTCTCGAGGCGAAGGCTGCGAGCTCATCAATAAGCTCTGGCGGATAGGTAAACAGTCCACACAGAGGCGCTGAATAAACATATCCCGAGTGCTCGGTCCCCTCTGGCTTGCCACTTGACTTGGGTTCGACTCCTTGGGCCGCCGTGGTTGGTGACTTGTCTAAAGGCGCCCCCGGGATGTCCTCTTCTTCGTCTTGAGAAGGTTTGACCTTTTTCGGGGGAATCTGCGACGAGGTGGTCTTTGACGTGTTCTCTGGTGGGGCCGTCGCTTTGCTGTCCTTCGCCCACTTGTCGTCTGCGTCGTCGTCACCTTCTGTCTGAGTCCTATTCTTCCCTCTCGTGTTGCCTTGAGGGGTAGTGTGAGGAGGTGCGCCGGTAACTGGGTCGCAAGCTCGGGCAAAGACTCTGTATACCTGGATGTCCCCCATGGGCACTTCTAGGAGGTCGTCCGACACGCTGTTTTGCAGGGGGGTCCAGGCCAGCAGGCCGCCGTGGGCGGCGTCGTGGATCTCGAGCCTCTTCTCCCGGCCCACTGCTGCCAACGCCAGGCTGAAACCCTTCCATTCTTCCAGCTTCTTGACTATGTCACCCAGCTTGTCAGGTGAAGTTCCCTCATCCTCCAAGCCCTCTGGCTCCATGTACTCCATCCGGATGCCGAGCTGAGCCATGATGATACGCAGAAGGCCTCTGGTTTTGTACAACGGGAGACCTTCTTACTCAGTGGGATGAAGTGAAAGTAAGGTGTAGAGGTATAGGTAAGGTAAGGTGGAGTGAGGTGAAGAAGAAAGGAAAGAAAACAAAGGGAAAGAAAACGAGACGAAAGAGAACAATATGGGCGGTCAAGTGAAAGTGACCTGTGCGCCGTGAATTATTTCTAACGCGTGCTTCTGGGGATGAGGAGGTGATTCTCGTCAACCTCGACTCGGTCTGCCCCTGAGTAGCGCCAATCAGTGTCCAGGCCTCGGAGATGCTTCTCCAAGCACCACGCATACACGCAGTTTTTACACAATCGGCGGCTGCGAGGGCACTGGTGCCTGCTGGCAGTCACTTTGCTGGATTGAATAGCCTGATTTCGACGCATCGAGGGTCCTTAAACATGATTACAAGAAACTCCAGCCCGAGCCCTCCTGGATATGGGCGTCCACGAGTCCAGCGCCATGCGTTTCGGAAGGTCAGACTCGGTGCTCATGTTGTCAGAGACGTTCGCGGCGTAGATGAGCTGCTTGGCCGCTGCATGACATGTCTCGTGTGTTTCGTGGGTATTCAGGGGTAGTCGGCGTTTCTCTCCCCGAGGCCGGTGTCGACAGAGCAGATGACCGCAGACTCTCCGTAGCTGAAGAGGAACCTGTCGTGGTCGACTGTGCTAGGCAACTAGTACAAGATACATCAAGTTGCTGGACGAACATTTTCAATTTCTGTTGTACCGTAGAATTGAGCCAGTAAATCCTCTCACTGACGGCGACATTGTGATGGAGAGACGTTTCGAGAGCCTGGCAGAGGTGCGTGAAGCAAGAAGGAGGTAAAATAAGAAGGGGAAATAAGGTTTGGAGAATCAACTCAGGAGAACCTCTAAGACAATTGCCCACGTTCAACTTACGGACGTCACCCGGGGTCTCCTTTTGTGAAAGAGGTAACTGCGTTATTCCCCAACTGAAGCAAATTGGCCCTTGCAGAGTGAATCTTAAAGCACCGACTCGACTATAAGGTACTAAATCAATTTATCGCTTTATTCTGACACGGTATATCAAAGACTTCTCCTTCTCATTTTTTTTTATTCATATGTCCAGCTGCTGAGTGATTATCGCTGTTCGGTATTGTCTTCTCTTTGGTCACTCTGGGTCTGCTTGAGCTAGTGATGATGTCATGGTCGTGCTTCCAAAGAGGCAACTCTCCCGTTGATACTCGTCCATACCTTATAGAAACGTGACAAACTCCACTGACCTTTCTCTCTTGAACCGCTTCTCTCACTCATCATACAATCACTCTCAAAGAACCCCAGAAGGTTGACTTTGTCATTACCGGTGCTGATTTCGAACGGACCTCGGGAGGTACGGCAATTGAAGCCCCAGCTCAATCCCCTCACTTACCCTGGATCCGTCTCATTTTCTGCTACTGACAAACAAAACACCACACTGCAGAGGGGGAAACGCACTCGACGACAACATCATTGCAGCTTCATTATTGGACCTTGCAAAATTCAGTCATCTCTGATAATGCCTGCAGACAGAGACACCCCCAACATGTCTGCCACAACGAAGAACGTCTTGGGCAAAGTCAGGCGGATGGTCCCGCCCATGCTTGACACATTCCATAAAGGTATGCAGCTGCCAGAGAATCCCGCCGTTATTCTGTGGTCATAATATGGAACCATGGAGTAGACAAGGACTGACGCAACTTATCTTCAATGTACATACAGGTCAGCTTGGCCGGGTTGCTGTCATCGGCGGCAGCGAGGACTACACAGGAGCGCCGTATTTCTCGGCCATGGCCAGTGCAAGGTTGGGATGTGACATGGTGAGTCCAGGCCAATCTTTTGCTTGATAAGTAGGAGATGATACTGACACAAGGCCGTTCCAGTCACACGTTATTTGCACTCCCGCAGCTGCGGCAGTCATCAAGACGTACTCTCCCAATCTCATGGTACACCCACTCATGCGCCAGTCGCCTCCGCAAAAACAATCATCAGCGGAAAACAAGGATCCAGATTCGGACCCCGACCATGTCGCCAGCAGGATTATTGACATGCTGGGAAGGCTACACGTCCTTGTCGTAGGCCCTGGGCTGGGCCGTGATCCGCTCATGCAAGCAACCGTGAGCCGCGTCATCAGGGCCGCCAGAGACTCTGAAATGCCCGTGGTTCTTGATGCCGACGCCCTTCAGATCGTCCAGAACGATCCGGATGTGGTCAGAGGATACAAGTACGCGGTTCTGACTCCCAACGTGGTCGAGTTCAAGCGGCTGTGTGACGCGCTCAAGGTCGATGTCGGGCAGCAGACCAGCGAGACGAGCAAGGTGGAAACATTAGCCAAGGAACTGGGTGGTGTGACAATTATCCAAAAGGGCTTCAAGGACTTCATCTCCAACGGCAAGGTCACCCTAGTGAGCGACCTCGAGGGAGGGAAGAAGCGAAGTGGCGGACAGGGCGATACCTTGACAGGCACGGTGGCGACCTTTTTGGGCTGGCGAAAGGCTTATCTGGATGGCTTGTGGAAAGATCGTGAGCAGCCTGCTCTGGATGCCGACGAGATGATGGGCTTGGCTGCGTTTGGAGGAAGTGCAGTGACGAGGGTGAGTTTATCCACGACAGAAGCTCGTATCAATACCAGACATTGCCATGGTCTTTGGTGTTGATGGCATTCAAGGCACATTACTAACACTTGTGTCAATCTCTAGGAGTGCTCACGGCTAGCCTTTCTCAAAAAGGGAAGAAGTCTGCAGGCAAGCGATTTGACGGACGAAGTGCATTCCGCTTTCATGGCGCTCTTTGGCGAGGTCGATGAAGCAGATGCGGCAAAGCTTTAAGTTGCAATCACGGAAGGTAGTTTGTATAACACCGGTAGACTTCATATACTTCCAGTAGCCAACCAATAACATCATGTACCTATGTCAGGTATGAAACTCAATCAGAAGATATAGATGCGTGATCGCCGTTATGAGTCGCATGAGCAATCCTCGTCCTGCCCTCACGGTCCTATGCCCCTCACGTTCAGATAGCAACCATGTCGCTCATCCTCCGGATTCCACCCGACACAGTTCCAGCACGACAGCAGGTTCTCCGGGTCAAGCTGTTTCTTAATCTCCAAAAGACGGGCGTAGTTCTTCTCACCCCAGAAGGAGCCGATAGGATCGGGCTCATAGACATCGGCCTCGTTCTGATACGCGCCTCCATCCGGTGTGATGGCGCGCAGGGGGTCCATCTGCGTGCTGATGGTCGAGAAGGTGTTGGTGAGCGCTTCGGGGCTCGTGGCAACTGGATCTGCCGGATCCCAAGTCTGCACAATTGTAAAGTGCCAAAGAGCGTCTCTCTGTAAGGCTGTGTCAGCGAAGCCAGAATCTCCCCAACCACTAAAGAGTGTTGAACAGTTTGAACTCACCCATGCTGGCGTAACCGATGCCTCGCCTGGACCCCCAGGCTGGTCCGACTCGGGCAAGTCAAACTTGGTCGGCGCCCCAAGCACGACGCTCCACCGAAAGTTGCTCGACGTGAGAAAGTCGACCAGTTGCTTCTGAGCCTCCTCGCCCTGGAAGTTCGACCGCGGCACCAGGCGCGACGACCGGGTCAGGGAGACGCCGGCCTCGGGCAAGAGGAAGCCGAGCAGCACGGGGTCGTTTTGCGCAGCCCACTGGCTCGGCAGCGTCTTGAACTGGCTGACCAGCGTGTCGTTGCTCGACGGGAAGGACGCCAGGTAGTCCGTCACCGGCTTCAGTGAGGCGCGCGCTTCTTCGACGCTGAGCTTGGTGTTGAAGCCGAGGAATCGCGCCGTGCTGTTGGTTACGTTTCCTGATACTGCGTAGAGGCCTCCCCAGCCCTCGTCGGCCCATTTCTCGGCGTTGGCGACGAAGATTTCGTTGATTGTGCGAGGAAGCTCTGGAACGGGCATTTGCAGAAAAACGTACTGATGATCGATGTCAGTGACTACATATACCTAGACGTTTCGCCTCATCAGTTTCTGGGAAAACTCACAGTGATCTCCTGGTCCTTGTGGAGCGCTGCAGTCGTTTCCGTAACGACTCCAAAGGTGCCTCCGCCACCGCCACGCAGAGCAAAGAAGAGGTCCTGGTTCTGGCACCGGTTTGCCGTGACAAACGTTCCGTTGGGCAGGACGACCTTCATCTGAATGGCATTATCCACGCCCAGGCCATAGACTGGCGCGAAAATGCCGTGGCCACCGCCAGCAACCCAACCCCCTGAAGGTCCGACAGTCGGACACGAGCCAGCGACAGCCTGAGAACCAAATAATTAGCGCGAGGTAGATTTCGTAAGGGCATCCAGATGCCCAGAAGACTCACCAGATATCCCGTCCCATTCAAACTGTCGTACAAGTGTGTGTCGATCTGGCCGGCGCCATACGTCACGGCAGGGCCGACTGGATCAGGACACGACTCAGGAGTGAAGTTTTCGTCAATCTCCGGCTCAGGTGCAATGTTGTGCGTCCAAATGGCAAACGTATTCACTCCCGTGCTTCTGCCCTTGTAGTCGTGGCCCGTATTCTTGATAGTAACGGGAAGCTTGTACTGCTGGGCAAACTCCAGGCTTCGCTGGATGTCCTGGACCTCGCGGGCATCGACGTAATAGTCAGGCACAGTGCCTTGAAAGCAGGTGCCATTGACAATGCCCTCGCTTGCACTCAGGGTGCATCTCTCGCCGCGGTTCATGCAAGTGCTAAACGTCGGGTTATGGTAGTTCCCAAAGGTCTGGATGATGTCTATCGACGTAGCGAGGCCGGCTTCGACCGTCTGACATTGCTCGGCATTTGGCACGTTTGCCTCAAGCTCCGTTGCATTCTGGTAGCTGGTGAAGCATGGTAGGCCTGCGGGTGCTGCAATGTGAAGGCGGCCGGAGACGCTGGCGTTGAGGGAGGCCCACGCCTGACTTGGGACGGCGAGCACGGGCGAAGTCGAGGCTGATGCTGCATTGACTGCAAACGCAGAGAGCAGAAGAGCTCGCTGAAGCGTTTGAGACATCTTGACGATGCTCTTATGGAGTCAATTCTGGGATTGGCAGAAGGTCAGAACAGCAGTTACCGCCTCGGTTTATGTATGCTCTGAGCCTCTGGCCCCCATGCAAATTGACCCGATAATGCCACGATCTTTTTACATAATGACACGGAATACATACTATCATATATTGGTCAAGATTCGCCGTTCCCTGTAGTAGCTGCTAGTATCATGAATGATCTTACGTGCACGACCCTTGCTTGAAGTTCTTGAGTTGTCCGAGGCCCAGATTCCTCCACATCCCGAAAACTGGTTTCTCTTGAAACCTACAAGGGATCCATACTAAACGCCCGCCTCGGCCACTCCTTAGCTGACTCTGGCGTACGCTTACGTCGTACTGCTGATGGAGCTTGGCATCCCGGTACCTTTGAAAACTGGTGATTACTCTCCATCGTGTGTTTTTCGGGGTTTATCGGCCCCGAGGGGGAAGGCCACGGGAAGGATGATGCGGATCAGGCCGAATGGAAGCTGTGTCTATGGAGTAAGCACAGCCGACACCCGTGATATAGGCAAGCTGAACAGAGCGGGTTGCTTATGGGAGAGAGACCAACGAAGAGCGGCTAGTGATGCATGGAGGCGTGGTGGCATGAGACTACACCTGGAGAAGACAGGGAGGAGTTGGGAATGATGAAGAGATCCCTAGCAGCTCATACCCGAATACCCGTGACAACGTGGACAGCCCAACGTCAGCCTGGTGTGACCCATCTCTGACTCTCCAACGACTACCGAGACGTAATGCAAGGCATTCTGAGCAAATCATTCAACTTGAAGGCCTGAGCATAAGGTATTCAGGCGCAGGTGCAGCACTGGGGATAAGTGGTCGTCGTGATAAGGTTGGCTGGAGTTGGGATCCTTCTGACTGGGGCAACGGATCGCCCCGAGACTTGTCTCGATTGGTAGAAGAGCACCAACGGCCATTGGTCGAGTTGCATCGAGTGTCTCTGCATTCTTGGCAATCAGATGCAGATTCTGATACCAGGAAACCAGATCAATATTCCCATTGGCTGATTGGTGAGATACATGAGTACGGAGGAGGTACTTGGGAGAAGGTCAGTTCAAGTTGACACTTGCAAGTCCAGCCAAGGTTGAGATGCCTTGACGAGGGAACTTCCCGAGACTCCGAGTACCTTGGGATGACTTAGTACTCCGTACTACTACCTTATAGTACGTACTGCTGCACTCATACAGATTTCCACCCCTGGGGCCTCTCAGGTGCCTCATCTTGTCCTGTAGGTACTTGACTCCCGGGCACAAGTACTTCCCCCCATGATAAGAAAGTCCCAACTTGAAGTGGTGTCCCCGTACTTTTCAACGCGTACCTGCATCGTTCGATCTGAAAATCTCCGTCCAAATCGTCGTCTGAACTTGGTCGAGCAACTTGCAGCTGCACGTGACGTGTAGCCAATCCGACGTCTGCAAAAAGCTTGAATCCCGCGCAGGGAACTTTTAGCGCCAATCAGATGCGCTGTTCGTGCTGCCAAAGCCTCTGCGATCCGGCTTGTTGCCGAGGTACCTGTACGCGGCGCTGGAGTGCGTCCCTGACGGCAAGTACCTTTAGCGAGGCACCGCTAACCGCAGTCGCAGGCGGCGGCTTAACCTCGTTGCAGCTTCGCTCGACTTTTGCAGCGAAACCTTCTTCCGATCCCATCAACAGCCCATCATGGCCATGCGGCTGACAATGTCTTCTCTGCCCGAGAGCGCCGACGACGATTCACACTTGGCAACATAGCAGTGACAGCCTCACCTGGCCAGCTTACCGCCGCCAGCAAACATGTATCCCGCCAGGCCCCGTCTGCCGGTGCTGGCCCCTCGCCTGCCGGGCAACTCGCCTCCGGTCGTTGAGAGGCCGAGCGTCAAGGAGCATACCGAGCAGGAGTGGGACGCCCGGAGGGATCTCATCCACGCGCTCTACATAGGCGACAACCGCAAGTTGAACGAGATCATGGCCATCATGGAGACCAAATACGGATTCGCCGCCACGTGAGTTGATGACCCTGCTGTGTTTTGCTGTCTCCCGTCCTGCCCGCTTCTGCATGCCTCGACATCCCCGCCTACTACGTGCGTTTGAGTAGCAGAGTATCCATATTGCTGCTGCCCGACAAAGTGGGAGGTGGTGCCATGCGAGGTGGTAGGACAGCATAGTCAAAGGATGCGAATATGGTGACTAACCCAGTGTGCTAATTTCTCATGAAAAAAAGCGAGCAAATGTACAAGAAGAGATTCAAGAAGTGGAACATCAGGAAACGATCATACAGGAAAGCGTCTGATGTGGCCAAAACCTCACCAGCTGCCTCTACTACCGCCTCTCCTTCCACTTCCACTTCATCTTCAACCGAGGCAGCGCAGCAAGGCGACGACGAAGGTGTGGAGGAAATCCCAAGGACGGAATTCTCTACAGCAACAGGCCTCGACTTGGTGCCAAATCCCCATTTCAGGCCTCTGGCGGATCTGGAGCTCGTCTTGAACGGCGTCATGTCTTGGAGCTCGGGGAAACTGGAATCGTATCGCATAGCCTCCGATCCCATGTCCCAGTATCTCGCTACTCCCAACCAGCCGCCTATGCAAGATTCCCGAACCATGTACCGGACCTTCGAGCTGGTCTTTGATCTATGGTCCCATGGCAAAGGCGACCTTGCCGGCATGGCGGCCAGGAAAGGCTTTTACGTCATGGAGTTTGTCCTCACAGAGGAGCACCCCGATCTACTCTGGCATATGCTTGACACGATCTATGACATGATCGACCGAGGCCACCTGCAGCTGCTCGGCATGTTCATACGGCATGCGCTTGTGCTGGCGCGGAGGCGCTTTCCCGAAAGCTACCCTCTCATCCGTATCCTTCAACAGCTCTCAGTGTGCGATTATCAGACTGAAAATGGCCGCCAATTCATATGTTATCTGTTGCGGCAGGCGTGGTTACGGAATGTCGATCTTCTTGCGGACCACATCAAGAAGTCGGCATCTCAAGAGTTCTGGCTATATGAGCAGCTCATCTGGGACGGTCGGACGAAATTACGGCGGAATAACGGACTCGCCAATAGACGCGAGCTCATGTACGAAGGCCTCGAGAACCTGGTTCAACATGAAGAACAGCCCCTGGAGACTGATGGCAACTTGGAGAAACTGAGAGCCGACGCCCTTATATTGGAGTTTACACAAATGGACCTGGGTGACAGGGAAAAGGCTGAGCAGATGGCGCTGGACTTGCTGGATACCACCCAGTTCAAGCTGGGGGCTCTCTCGACTGCCAGATTCCATGCATACGCTCGCAAGATGCTGGCACGAATCTTTGAGAGCAAAGAGGACTGGGATCAGGTTGAGGAGAATCTGAAATCCGCCATCCACATGCGAGAGGCAGCGCACGGCACGAGCACCAATCTGCGGGTCATCCGCGACATGTGGGTGCTCGCCGCATACTATCAAAAAGTCGGCAAGCTAGAAAACGCGCTGCAGGTCGCCCAAGACGCCATCACCAGGGCGCAGCAGTATCTACACGACCTCCCAGGGTGCGAATAAGCACGAGCAGAATACGGATCGCAAGATCAATTGGCGTTTAGAGTTGACAATTGGTATCACGGGCAAATTGGAAAGCATTACATGGAAACCTGGTTTTGATGGGGTTCGGGATTATTTTAGGATTACCTCTGGGACAGCGATTCAATTGGAAATACAGCTACTAGACATTCGATAGAGCGTCTTGACAGCGAGATACAAGCAACTCTCCTAATGCACTTTTGGCTACCAATTCCGAACGTCGTAGGGGGTTCAGCCGTTGTCTGGTGTGTGCTCAATCACTGCTCCCTGAGCCTCGGTTTCAGTCTTTCTGGTGGGCTAAGGCAGCACGTTCGCACCTGTGGAGACGGCCCTGCAGATGCGCAAACGTGGCACCAGCCACATTTCCGTCTCGCCACATGACGTTGACGTTGTGCTTCATTACTGGATAGAAGCGGCGCTGGGCTTGCAGGGTCGCCAGACTGAACCTGCGTCAGGCACCTACAGATATTAATACCGACTCAATTCTCTAGCCACATCTTCGACAATCCCTTTACTTATCGGTGATGAGACGGTAGCTAGTTGTCCTTCTTGATCCATATCGTTTCTCCCTACCTTCATACAAGACACCCGCACCATGACGAGAACCACGCCCCCAGATTACTGTGAGTCGAGGCTCTCCCCGCCATTGACCCCGGAAAACGAACTTGGACACACGCTCACACATGCATACGCCACGCAGACGCAATCCTAGAGGTCTCAGAGAAGGCCTCTGCCGCCCAGATTCGAGATGCGTATAAACGGTAAGCGATCTTCTCGTGCTCATGGCCGCTGTGCCTGCCCCTTGCTGACGACGTTATCTTTCTCCAGGGCTGCCCTGAAGACGCACCCCGATCGTGTCGCCAACAATTCCCCGGAGCGAGAGCAGAGGACCCGACGCTTCCAGCTTGTCAATGACGCCTACTACACCCTCTCAGATCCCACCAGGCGAGCAGAATACGACATCCAACGAACATCTTACCGCCGTCCGACAGCCTCCGACCCCTTCGCAGAAGCAGAGGAGGACACCTCGGGACAGAGCTTCTACTCGTGGGCATGGGAACACTTTGCGAACGGGGCAGGCCGCGAGGAGGCGGAAAATGCCCAATTCAGCGACGCCTTCGAGGAGATGATGCGAGACGAGGGATTCGCTGCGGACGGGACGCCGATCCAGCAGCCGGGCACCTCAACCATGTGGGGCATGGTCGGTGCAGTCAGTGGCGGCGCGCTGGGCTTCATCGTGGGCAACGTGCCCGGGCTGCTTGCCGGAGCGGTGGCCGGTAATCGCTTGGGAGCCATCCGGGATACCAGGGGGAAGAGCGTGTATGAGGTCTTCCAGGTAAGCCACAGGCTACGTGATACCACTATGGCGCTTCTCAGATTATCATTACTCTGAGACTGACTCAGTTATTTCAGATTTCTCTGGAAGCTAATGTGTACATAGGAACTTCCTCAAGGCGATAAGGCAAGGTTGTTGAGCCAGCTGGCTGCAAAGGTGTTTAGCCATGTTACCAGCTGATGAGGATGGCTCAAGCAATGCCTAATTGGAGGGAGTTCTGGCATGATGACTGATGGAATATCTTTTACAGACGGATGATCTTTCTCTTTGGCGGGTACCCTTTGGTTGAGTTCATTTTTTCCCTTCACATTTTTACCCTCTCTTTTCCCTTCCTTTTCTTTTCTCTTCTTTGTTTATATCACGAGGATACGCTACGAGACGATGGAAACGACCCCTACCTGCCAGTCGCCAGTGTACGTTTGCAAACGAGGCAGAAGATACGCAAACCGGAACAATACCAATTAGTTAGTGAATAAAACAATTAACATGGTGAAATTGGCCATTTAATACGTCCGGCTTACAGTGAAGATACAGCACCTAAGAAGAGCTGTTCAGCATGTCCAATGCGGCATCAGTCTCGGTGGAGGTTGCTTACTAAGTCTAGTGCAAAGAGCTTCAATTCTAGCGGCGATGCGCTGCATGCGCTAGTCCACACGAGGAAATCAACCCCCGCTTTTCCGGGCTCTCGCTTGAGGGCAGACAAACCCTCAAAAATTTCCCGCCATCACAAAATCGCTTTACGCTGCTTCAACCTCGCTCTTTCGCCCAGTATCGACGCAAGCAGCAAGACATCGCCGACCAACGACCGCAGCAATGGCATCCGAGAAGGCTAGCAACCCCATGCGGGAGCTCAAGATTCAGAAGC